GAGAGCGAGGTCATTTAACTGAGTTCATATATGACAGGTGTCCTGCATACTGCTAGGATCAATGCTATCGAAGTCATCGTGAGTAGTGATAAGTCAATAAAGATGGTGAAATTTAAGCTTGGTAATGAAATGTGAAAGTGAATTAATCAACATGATGTCCTGGCGAGGACTCAGAATTTTTCTTTGTCCCACACTCGTGTCATGTTGATTAATTCACTTTCACATCTCATTACCGAGCTTAAAATTCACCATCTTTATTAACTTATCACTAATTCTTAAAATAGCTCAAGGTGTGAAAAAGCCGTAGCACCGGCCCAATTAGAAGATGAAAGCTCCATGTGATATGCTCCTGCATGTGCTACGTTTTTGGGAGTTCCACATGTATCAGCGCTGATCGAAATGCTGCACTTTTATCTCCTATTGAATTTAGTTTGGCTGGAATTGCGATCGGTGTCTGGATCAATTCAGCGGGTCTACACTTATTTGGGTCGGCCTAAATTCGAATTTGATTTGGCTCATGTGAAGTACAACGTATGAACTGGGTCTTAGAGTCCAGTCATGGCCTTCTCCGTGTCACGCAATACGTTGTGTTATGTTGTTTTGAAGTTTTTAAGTACATACCGTATTTACTCAATTAAATGCCGCCCTTGAATAAATGCCATCCTCAAATAAATGCCGTATTTTAGAGCAGAAATTTTAATAAACACCGCACTTGAATAAATGCCGCATGATGATGCGACGTTTATTTGAGAAATAAACTCAAAAAGCAAAAATTAATGTAGTAATAATCAAGTTTGAGCAAGCCTAAAAATATTATTTTACCTGATTGTAACGAGGTTTTAATATCACTACATTCCAAGGTCAAAGGAAAATAATCAAAACATGAGAATACTATACGGTAGTTCAGCTTAAACAAGCTTTGGAAATTTGCTTTCATTGATAACAATGTTTTTTAGTTTGAAGTGAGTATACTTCAATGCTCTTTCAATGCTCTTACCATACTATTGTTTGCAAGAAATAAATTGGATTTTAATTAAACGCCGCCCTCGTATAAACGCCGTCCTCGAATAAATGCCGCACTCGAATCACAAAAAATTTAATAAATGCCGTGGCATTTAATCGAGTAAATCCGGTATCTGTTCCTGTGGGGGCATGAACTCGCTAGTTTGTTATGTTTGTTGAGGCTACATAGACAATGCTCCTCTAAGAGTTGAGTGCTCTTTGAAATCCATTCACCACAGGGAAATAGAAATTATAAAAAAATAAGTCATCCACATTTGGAGTCAGAGGAAGAGTTGAGTATGTGGGCGTATTACTGATGTTTTAACAAAGTTCCAGTCTATTTCTGGTTAAATTTCAAACTAAAGAGGGAGCAGGGAATAGTAATTGAAAGTATGTTAATGACGTATGTGATTGCAAGCGGGCAACGAAATGACACAAAGACGTTTGCCCGTTTACCAGCATCATCAAAGACCAGACTGCCAAAGCAAGATCACTTGGAATCTAGTGTGTCCTTGATGGACATAAACTTTGACGATTTTTCTACAGCAAAACTCTATCAACAATGGATATCACGTCTGCACGTTGTTATGAAGAAGATTTACTATTTTCCCGAGAAATCTGAGCTGCCAATTTTAAATTAAAGTCCCAGGGGGGTACTCCCAGAAAAATCGGGTGGCAGTGTGCTGCCCGCTTCCCAAAACCCTTACCCTATTTATGACCAAAAGCTGTGATATTCCCTACCCTATTTATGACCTGACCAAAAATTCGAAACCCTATTTATGATCTAACCCTTAAATCAAAACCCTGTTTCAGACCTGTGGTATAATAAGTTCCCTAGTTCAGACCAATGTTAAATTACTGTAAACATAATTTGTGAACAGCTTTTGTTGATTTTCTTTTCGATAATGATGAAAAAGTGGCTTCTTTTTAAAAACATACCCATATCAAGGCTAGAGTGCAAAAACCATACCCTATTTATGACCAAAAGAGCTGAAAAACCATACCCTTTGGGGCCGCCAATACCTATATAGCACATATAAGAGAGTACCCCCCCCCCCCCGGGATTAAAGTTCATAATTCTGGTGAAAATTAGTTGGCTTATTTTTTCTGCGGTTTCCAGGGTAGAAATGAAAAATTTGCAGAGATCAGACAGAGCAGGCTCACTTTCTTTTCTTTCGTGGCTACGCCACACGCGCTTGTGCTCCAACGTGAGCAGAACACGGTTTTTGACGTTACGCGAACTTGCTTCTTCGCATAATCGACCTCAAATTGCACCCGATGGTTTATATGTTGCGCGTTTGTAATTCGTAATAACAAAACTCGATTTCTCTGAAGATCTTTCGCAGCTACCCTGCGAGCAGAGTCACTTCGATCTTATTCGCAACCTATTCGTACTTGATCTAACGTGAGTCGCCAAAAGCAGACTACGCTTTCGTCTCCAGGTGAGAAGAAAAATACGTTGGGCAACGTGACGAGAAGTTTACAAGGTAGAGTGGCTCAAATTTACATATCATATTGTAGATTTCTGTAAGTGCTTGCCTGATGCAAAAATATACCTTTCAGCAAAATGTTAAGGCCGTTTATGAACCGAAGGCCGGAGTTCCGTCAAAATCCAGCTGTTTTGCTATGCCAACGGAATGATACTTGCCCAGGTACGGTCTCCCTCCAGGGGTAAAAACAACGGCAATGAGACTGGGGGTCGGGAGAGGCGGGTAATACGTCGCTCCCAGACGATCATTTGTTCGATCTGGCAGATGCCGTTCGAAACCTTGCATATGTGCTTGAAATAACCGCTAAGTTTAAGACTTTAAACCACTGTCAGTAGTAGACTGGTTGTTTATCGTTCTTCGTCGTTATTTGTTTTGTTTGTTTCGTAGCTGATCACTGGATCACCAGCTGCTGGAAGGGTTATCAAGAAGCGAGTCGACTATCAACCTAGAAACTTACCTGTATGAGACGATAGAGCCGCTGCTAAAAGTATTTCCACGTCTTATGCCGAGAGAAATTTCTCCTTTATCGTTCTGAAAGGTTCTTTTGAGAATGATTTCTTGGAAACTCCGCTTGCGATTAATATGCCTAACGTTGCCTGAGTCAGCTGCTTGCTATGAATGATTTCGGTTTCCCCCTGTCAGGTGGGTTAGGCGTAAATTTCAATTGCTGGCGATGCTGAACAGCGAAAATAATATCGATTTCTCCTTCGGAATCGTTTTTAGGTGACAGGTTGTCGTCGTTCAATTTTTATGAAACCCTGGTCACGCACGGAAGAGGATTGACCTTTCGATTTTCTAAGAATTCGCGTTGCTTATTTTTCTTACCATAAATGGTATAACCCACGTGGGTTTCTTGGAAATGAGGAAGCATATAGCATACAAGTAGATTCGTGGAATCTTTACGCACTCAGTTGCCGTAACCCGATCGACTGTACGTTGTACATGTTCTTCAGGGTGAGTTCGATTCAGAATCTTGTGTAATTTTAATTAAGCTTATTTCCAATGGGTTGAAGTGTCGAACCATACAAACCTTTTCTAGTAGTTGTGAGATGAAGCTAAGTAAGAGAGGACAGTTTCTTTGTTTTGGGCGCCCTGTTTGTTTACCTTTGAGCATGATAAACCACGGAAAGGCGCAAGTGGAAAGTACCTGAGAATATTGATTGAATTTGAATTTAGCAACCAAGGCAAATTGTAATGACTTGCATAAGTCCCCGAGCCCGGACATTATTTTACATACTTGATTTTAGTAATATTAGATGCAGTGGTTTGCTTGTTGCTTTGTATCACATGCATGCATGGCTAGACTAAATCTCGATAAACCTGTCTGACCGGTATTGGATTCAAGAATCCACAGTGCTTTCTTGAAAACTGGGTGGGGTCATCTTTTCATAAACAAGTTTAATTAAAGGGAGGGTTTCACGGTTCGGCGCATGTCTCCAAATCAAAATACTTTTGTTCACTTCTTATCAGTGTTTTCGCTTTAAAAACACTACTCAGATGTAGTTTAGTAATCACATGCTATAGTTAGTCGTGGCAGAATGACGCATGACCAAAATTCTCAGAAGATTTCAGTGGATTTTACCGGCGTTGTTGGTTGTTGAATTTAGTGTTGACCTGTACAATTTATTCTATGATCGTTGCTGCTATGTGCATGCAAAATTAAAATTAAATTAGGTAGCTTGCTTATCATTGGTTCATAAACAATGAAAAACTGGGCCTGTGCCAAAAAATGTGCACAGGCAGATAAATAATATAGACATGCCCTGAGCCATGAAACCCTCCCTTTAAACCAGTTTGATTTCCAAAGAAAGTTTGTTTTTAAACATGGCTTACATTGTCTGGTGAATCAAGAAAAAATGCACCAGTTTGTAGAGATGGATCTGGGGAAGGGGTGCTGGGGGTGCACACACTCCCCCCCCNTTAAAACAAGTTTTAGTTGAAGCCAGGTAAATTGATCCCCTAACTGATATTTTAAACCCAGTGCCATGAAGGAGTGTGTTCAGATATCAGGGGTAGATCTGGGGGGAGGGTGCAGGGGGTCCACCCCCCCCCCCCCTGAGATGAAGCCTTCTTCATATTTACTTTTACAATTTGTTTACCTCACCAGTCAGTTACTGTCATAAAAATATCAAGGATTGGTGTTACCAGGATTGATCATCATAAATTGAATAAAGCATTCTGTTGTAAAAATTATTAAAAATATGAGCTTTCAACAGACAAAAATTTGTGATAAAATGAAATGTTAAATATATGAAATGTTAAATATTTACTTACTTACTAGAGAGTAATTTGCACAAATTAAAAATATACATATAGAGAATGTTCAGAAGAATGCTAAAAGTGTTAAAACTACTGTTTGTTTAAAAGAATGTTTTATTGTCTCAGAAGAGGGGATGAATTGTCAGCCTAAACAGTTTTGGCTGTGTGCCATGATTCCAGAGTCTTTCTGGTGTGATTGTTTCCTTTGTCAATGATCATAGAGTTGTCAAAGTCAAGTACATTATCAAAAGTCCATGCCTGTTTTGCAACGTTGGAACCTTTAACCCTGTTGGAAGATCATGTTTTTAATAATCTTTACAAGAGAACACTTAATTAAGTTTCAGTAGATTTACTGTCACTAATTCAAATTATTAGGCCAGAGATCTTTGGACTAGTGAGGTTAGTTGAGTTATCTACAATGATACTGGAAAGGTCATGTGTCACCCATGGACCCTTTGCTAGCTACCCTCTTGAAGAATGCTGGGCTCTCATGAACAGCACATTAACCTTGTTTTCTGTTTTAAGGTACGACTTCTTTATACTGTTTTAACCTCAGCTGACCATGTCTGGCGAAGGAACGCAGCCAGTACTTGGATCTGTCAGTCATGACGGTGAAAATGGCATGAGCAATTCTGGCTTTGATCTTTTAAGTGCAGATGATCATGGCAATATGTCAGGTACCTATGTATCCACCAGCCATTCTGGAAACCAACAAACTAACTGGAAAAAATATGCAGAGGAAAGTTATCAGCACTATCTCTCTGGATGTCCAGGGGCTTATGGTGGAAATGGGTTGGCCTCAGAACAGCAAAATGTATGTTTTTTTTTTTAACCATGTTTAAAGTCATCAATATTTAATCTTGTCAGTTATTAACAAGAGCCATAGACTCCATCTCCCATACTGAGTCTAGCTTTTGAGTTACATGTACCTTTTCCCATATCTGTTAAGCAATCTCCTACAATCTCCCAGGAGTTCTCTTGTGCTCCCACGTCATGAAGTTAGGACAGTGGGTTCAATGTTATCACATGCTGATCACTAGTGCTGACCATGTAAAACATTCCATGAGGGTTGGGAAATGGTCCTTCAAAAACCATGGGTCTTGCAAAATTTTCATTCAATTTCATGGATCTCACAGTCTTGTTTTTCTAACAGTTGTGTGCATCTAGAAGTGTCAATTTTTTCACAAAGCTGTCTTGTAGTTTTGATTTTTTGCAAAGTCTCGAAGTATGGATTTTAAATGATGTGTGAATGTTTTAGAACCTGAGTGTCTTGTGTTCACATTGAAAACACTTTGAAGCCTCAGTTGCAACTGAAAAAGTAAAAATGTCTTGTACTTGCAAAGAAAAATATATAAATGTTAAAAGTCTTACCTTCTTGTAAAGTCTAGGCTCGATTACCAGCTGCTGTTCGGGACAGGAGCCTGTGCTCCTCCCCCGAACTCACGGCTGGACTCATGGACTTGGCATTGTTAATTTCAACCTATGAGAAATCTGCCTGCCTGAATCGAACAGGCTGCATAAATTAGCTTTCTTGTAGTAGCAAAGAAGTTGTGTGATATGAAGTGCGATCGCATCAGTGGGACATTTAACCAAATACCGTCAACTCATGAAATCTTGCCTGATCTAAACATGGTGGCATACACAACATGCAAAATAATCAACAGACTTGTGCGTTTAGGATCTATATTTGAATCATGTCATGTGGTGCCAGAATATAATGTCAGATAATGAACAAAGTCAACAAAGAGAGGGATAAATGCAAACACCAAATTAAAACACTAAGTCAAATTGATGTGTACGGTAGTCTTCTTGAAGGGAAGCGACACCGCTCTCTGGTGAAGCGAGACAAAATTAAATTTTTATATGAGCCAAAGCAAACCGAACTAGCAAAACATAAACATGGTTTCAGTACCACGCACACCATACAACATATGTGACCTTTGACATGACAGTTGCTACACCATGGTCAAACAGCTCTGCTCTACTAAAAAAAACAAACTCTTCTATAGAACACAGCATGTAATGCCCTTCTGTAACAATAGTGTGAAACAAAATAGGTTGGAGGGCCAAAATTAAAAGAAGAAGTGGTGAAAACACCACAAATTTTACGAGCCGTAGGGTCATGTGGGCCTGCCTATGATTGTCATCAGATGACATTTCCGGTCACCTGAAGTGCCACAAGAATTAAATTATGAATTTACGTCACAGACATGCTTTGCTGCTTACGCATTCAGCCGTCTCTTCTCGGGGAGGAACGTAGACTGGACTTGAGAAAGCAGCGGAAATTGAGCCTATGTAAAGTCTTGCATTTACCATTCACTAATCCTTCAATATTAATGCAGGATAAAAAGGATGGCAGTTTGATTCTATGAGAAAAGCCATGTCTAAAAATAGGTTATTTCAGTAAAATCCGCACAGTCTCGACGGGCCCGTGGGCGCGTCTTTTTTAACCCCCCTCCCACCTGTACTTTTTGAAGCACCAGACCCCCTCCCGCCTGGATTTCCAAGGCAAAAGACTCCCCTCCCATCTGGATTTCCAAAATAATTTATGAGCTTCAATTTAATTTCTAAAGCTTTAGCAGATATTAAACTTACAATTATTATTCTTTGGAACTCATTAACACGAGCTATATATGTGAAAGATTTTGGACTTGTAGCTTATCAGAAACATGTGAGGAATTGTGCTGGATTGTGTAATTATTTCAATTTCCAGAGTGTTCTTGCCATTAGTCCTACAGCAAAGAAATTCTGCATTGACAATAATTTAGCCAAATGTATTTCACTAGTCATTTAAATACACCAAGCAGTTGCCAATAATTGTTGTAGCAAACTGAGTCTGACTGACTCTGATCTGTCTAAACAAAATCATGTTGCGTGACATGAACTTGACGTGTATGAAACCAAAATAGAATGTAGTATCTTCCATTATAAATGAGTTTCTTTTTAAAATATTCCTACCTTACTTCAATAAAAAATGTGGCTTGAATATTTTCTCAGAAGCTGCGTGAAGGCCGATATCACATTTTCAGAAGTAGTCTGCAAAAAACGACCTGAAAGTTTATGCAAATTACATGTAAATGTAATTTGATGCCTTGTTATTAATACATGTGTTTAAGCGCGAGCACTTTTAGCACAGAAAGTGATAGATCTCTTGTTTGTTTTGAAAGGTAATTAATAGCCTGAAAAGTTTGTAAGAATCTCTGCAACTAATAGGAAAGCTGTTTTATTTAAATGTTTAAGCAAATCTTTATGTATTGTGCAGGATTTTGTGGGTTTTGGAGAATTTGTGGTAATTGTATTGCATCCAAGAGCTAAGCCATGCTTACTTTTGGAAAAACGTTCTACTCTTGCAGATTTTATGTGACCGTATGTAGACCATACGTTAGAGCCGTGGTTTTTGAAAGTCTTTCCTATAACAGCTATTTTTGTCAACAGTAATATGCCCAGTGGCACACTGGGCCAGGGTGCAGTAATCCAAATAGTGTCAAACTCCTAGCGAACTTCATTGCAACGGCTTTCTTCGTAATGATACTTATTTTGCTATGAATATTTATATTTATCAATATGCCGATAATTTACTATTAGTCTTTCAGTAAAACTTCAATCCTGGCTTCACGTAAACAACCCCCAGAAACAACCATGCTACGTTTGGTCAGTCACATGTAGTTCCTGCACTTACATCACTCATCCAGCTTACATGTAGATACTATTACTATAAGCTACTATTGCTTTGTGGCTGTGGAAGGTCTAGGCCGCAAGTTGCATGGATGGTGATTTTAGCTGGGATTGTTTTCTCAAGATGGCAAAAGCTTGCAAAATAGGTCAAAATAATTAAAACAAAATCGATTGCTTACAAAGCGGGCAAATCAAAACTGCCAGCTACGCATACAGGAAGTAAAAGTTAATATTCAAGAGATTGATTTCTTCTCGAAAACAAAGCTAAATCAAATTAATTATTTGATTAAGAATCCATTAAGCATAAGCATTTGTCTTAATAATTATTAATTCGTTTATTTCAATTTTATTTCATGTTTTTATCAGAAGATAAAGGGAAAACAAAAGCTGAAAGCAAGATAAAGTAATCAAAGAAAATTGCATGCACAATCAGAGGCAAACAAAAAAACACATAAAAAACCTCTAGAACATAGCACTTACAAATAGCCCTCTATTTTCTCACGGTTTTTAAAAACTGCGAGAGAACTGGACGCCAGCACAAAACAGGGGACTTCTTTGTTTGGCTTGCTTTGCTCCCTTCCCCGCCTGCTTAAGGCTCACTTCACTTGTTTCTTTCTCGTGCGTCAAAAAACAGAGAGACTGTGAACATTAACAGTCTACTTACAATTGACCAAACTAACTTGTTAGCTAAGGGTCTCAATTTTATTGCCACACCAAAAGAAAAAGAAACTCAAACAAGGACTTCAACCAATTTGGTACAGAAGAATACACCTACAATACATTTTCCACAGAGAAGATAATGAACTGCATCTTTTCCAAGTTAAATCAAACTAGATTCCATTGGTTCAACCATCAGTAGCTCTTGAAAGCTACTTGAAAGAGGTAAAGTTCAACTTGCTGAAATACAACTTACAAAGCCTAAGGACAATCTGCCTAAAACAAAGGGCATTGAACTCACCAGAAAGGATGAATTGAGAACTGTTAAAAACGGTTCCAGATGACCATCTAACAAATTACATGTTGAGTGATGAAGATACCTTATTCAATTGTTCAGGTACGAAACACTGTTAGGTTAGTAGCAGTATAACTTGTTTGTTTTACTCGGAATATACTTGTTCTTTTACACAGTTCTACAGGGGACAACAGATAAGTTCTCCGACTTCAATTGGGTTTCATGGTTTGTGTGTGGTTTCTTGATTCCATTTTTAACCGTTTAGCCGGCTTCTGCAAACTAGCTGGAACTGGAAATTCGACTACCTTATTGCTACTTAATTTCGTGAATTTGGTGAGACAGTACAAAAATGTGTTTCATGGGGTTTCCTTTTTGGTGATTTCAGTAGGCAAATATAAACAAAGGGTATTTAAATTTCGCGATTCAAACATTCTCAGTTCTGAATTTCTTAAAATTTCTTGGTAAACTGGAACAGGCAAAGCACATTTTTTAAAACTTATAGCGTTATTTCTCTACACAACATACAAAATGGAACTTACCAGTAAAACCAGTTAATAGTTTGTGTATTTGCCGATACATATCCTGTATATGTTGTTGTTATTATGTTAATTATTTTTTCTGTGATTTGAATTTTCTATATGGGTGTTAAACGTTAGACAGTAGCGAAAATCGCGAAACTAAAGACCTCCGAAATTAAGTACCAATAAGGTATAACACACTACGTTAGGTTATCCTAGAACAAAATAATTGTTTCTCTGGTGCCAAAATGATGTTGCAGTAAGTTTTGTAGCTTTTTGTGGAATTCAGACAATTAAGCAGAAGTTAGGATTAACTTTTTCTCGGAAATTTGAATATCAAGCGACAAGAAGACGTCTTTTATTAATGCAAACAAAAAATTGGGTCTTCAAGACCCTTAGCCTTGAAAAAAATTGAGTCTCTGAGACTGCAAGATGCACATAACCACTAAAAAATGAGACTGTGAGACTCATGAAATTTGACTAAAATTTTGCAAGACCAAGCATTTTTCAAGGACCATTCACCACCCTTAAGGTTACTTCAAACCTTCGCGAGTGTAGTCCAGAAAAAAATTCATACGCGCGCTGTTTTCAAGGAAACCCCCACAAACTATATATCAACAGAGAGGTTATAAAATGCAGAATTCGATAAAATTATGTTTTGTTTTTGATTTTTCTTTCCAAGGGCGGCAGAGGCCGTCAACTCCAAAATGACCGACTGACGTTCCAGCAAATTAATCAGGTGTCAAATGCGATCGTTCATGCAAAATAACTGTGCAGTGTTTATCACAAAGCCTCAGTCTCCAAAAACGTGTCGGCATTTTCTTTTATTTCTGTCGGTTATCTTTTTATAGATCTGTGAAGTTCGACTATCAAAAAATTCGCGTAACCTGTTACGTTAAAGGCCACCACGAGCAAAGTATTTAAAATAAGGGGATTCGCCGACATGCTTTTGTTCCATATCTATCAGCTCTGACCAAATTTCATGGAAAACCGTCAAATCTGCATACCCTATTAATTCATTTAANATTAATATTAAACAATTAATTAAAGCTACACTTATAGATTATAGATGTCCGGTAATCAAGTTCACGTTTTTCAATTTAACGTAATTTTAGAAATGGTTCTTGTTGACTAATGTTGCGAGACCAATTCTTATTTGACAATCGGGTAATATTAACATATATCATTTGTGCTTGAATGTTTCGGTTACGGTTGTCAAATTAAAACATGTAGTCAATCGCTTTTTTTAGAGATAGCAGTTATTGTTAACTGATGTTGCGAGACGAGATGTCTTCGACAAGAACAATGAACAGTTATGAAGTAGTGTTTATTACAACTGTCGATTACAGACTGCTAGTTTGTTAGATGGAAGTCAAATTTAAGAGAAGCCCTGCGTAATTTTTAGTAGCGGTTATTTTCAGCTGATGTTGCGAAGCGAGATGTTTTCAACACAGAAAGCGATTTAACATTCAGGAATGTAATCAATAAACTTAAAATACACGTTACCATTGTATCATTGTACTTTGGCAGGGAGTAGCAGAGCTCAAATTTTAACTCTTTTGTGTAAATAAGCTAGTGTTATGTAATTTACCAATCAGTGTGCTAGGAACCGCATAAATTTAAGCTGTAATGTAGCCTATTCAGTCCCTTTGTTTGTAAACCAATCAGATGCGAGGAGACAACTCGCGTGTCCGGTCAACAATAAATCCGTCGGGCCAAATTAAATTCGATATTCAATACTCTCTATTCGGCATTTTCTGTGGAAACCCGTTGACACCTGTAAATTTTGGGCAACAGTCATTCTGCTAGCCTTCGTGTAGACGTATGGTCAATCAAAGGCAAACCAAATTACGCTTTCACAGTCATCAGCACGCTTCCGATTGTTTTATAAACAATAATTTTGAATGATTAACGTTGTAGCTTGCGCATGCCCCGAGCCATGAAACCCTCCTTTTAACTTGTCGCATGCAGGACCTTTCCTCCACCAAAAGGGAGAATATACTTCTCTATTCCGATAATAATCTTTCCGACATAATATCGCTGGCAATGTACTTTTCTCGGAATTTCTTGAACTAGTCAACGATAAGATAATTCTCTTAATTTTTCCTTCAAATGTGGCTTCCCATGCTGACTTTCCCTCTTCCCAACTAAAATTCAAGATTGAATTTCTCGGACTGGTCATTAAACCTTTGGTTTTGGGACGCCTTTGTTGCCTTTTGGTGTGCCAACTTCCCATTCTTCGCAGAGTACGTTTTCGCATTTTCTTGCTTTAAAATAATTCGTAACGCACGATGGTATTACATTATGTAATGTATTGTCATGAGCACTTGCATGTTGACTATATGTGATCTGAAAATTACTCTCCTCTCTACAAGAGAACTATTACGACCTTCAAAAGAAGACATTGAAAAAAGAGTAAGCCCGCGCTTTGCGAAAAATTGTAAGACTTGGCGATAGTGGCAACTTATAAGATAACTGAGGACGAGTGAAACCATTTTTTTTTTTCAGAGTAACAGTTGGGTCAAAATGAATTGAGCGTCACGTAAATTCACGAGTTGATTGTTCATGTTCTCTCTCGTCTTGAAGTAGAATTAAAGAAAGGAAAGGCTTTTTTCCCCTCTGTATTTGAACTTTTCGTTTCCGCAATTTCATCTTGCATGTTCCACTGACCCACTCTCGAATAAGCAACTATTTGTCTTGAGCTAAGACTTTTATAAGTTTTATGTTTTTGTTTCACATAACTCGCAACAGAATCGCAGTATTGTGCTCTTGATGGCTAAGACTACCAATTAAATATGAATGACGTTTCATCCAAAAGTATTCAAAAAAAAGGTACCAAGATATCTACTGAGGAAAGTCACTTTTATTTGAGCTCTACCACTAATTCTTATTTTCACCAGCTTTGAATCTTCCGGCCTCTGCCATCAAGGTTTCTGCCCTGGATGTAATGTCAGTCCATCCAGGGTTAAACCCACCCCCCACCCCTCCCTCCCCGCACACAGTATTAAAATCGCCAGTACCGGTTATACACCTAGGTTGAGAGAGGCACTGTGAAAATCGTTTTCTTTACACAAGATCACTATGTAGAGGTCCCGTCCAGTCTGGAACTCCCCCCGCACGATCCGGAGTCCAGTGCACCTGCCATCCGCCTATCATGTTTTGCTAGTTTCCATGATGAAATCGTATGCAGTCTGGACTTTCATTTCAACGGCTAACATCATGCATGACAAATTACTCCTTAATTTTAGCGCAAAATTTCAGCGTTAAATTACATTTTCACATGTGAAATTACAAAACTGACATGGCAACGTTTGGCGCGAAATTTCTCGATACGATAAACAAGCCAAAAGCCCACGATTGTACGGGAAACTTGTCACCCACGAGATTAAGAGGTAATCAAATGGTATACTCATGAAATTAGGAAATAATTTCTCTTACGTTTTGTCAAAACGCGCTTGAAATTATTTCCTAATTTCACTCGTCACCATTTAATTACCAATACTAATACGGAATTTCACGTCTAAAATTGCAAAATTGCCATGGCAACGTTTGGCGGGAAATTTGTTGATACAACAAACAAGTAAAAAACCCACGATTGTGAGCGTAATTTGTTCCACACGATGATATTAAAAGATAGTTAGATGGTATATTCGTGAAATTAAGAAATAATTTCGCTTACGTTTTGTCAAAATTGTAATAATTTCCCTTGCCTAAAGCTCCATGTTTTATCTCTTTCGTACAAAAGTGCTTTGCAGTTATAGTTTTGTCAAGACTGAAGTGTAAAAGTGTAAACAGTTAGGAATTTAAATAAAGTTCTGATATAATTTGCAACTTTTTCAACGCAACATAGGTACAAATAATTGTCAGTTTTAAGTCGCCACCAACAAGAAATCGCGCTAAACAAATTCGCGTATTTATGAAATAAATGTACGCATTCTTAGACTAACTAAACAGAAGAACACGTCTAAGGGTGTACCTACACATCAGTTTCCAGTGTCACTTTACTAACTGACTAACTAACAAAATCGTTCTGAAATGATCCGGCTGATTGTCTGCTGTAGTGGAGTATAATTCTTCGCATTTCCTGCGGATAGAGTGCTTAGTCTAAAAACGTTCCACGCTCCATCGATCTTGGACAGACCGCACATGATAATGGCCTGGGAATAAGCTGCATTTTGCATCTGGTCGCTGCAGAGTTGCTTGTTGGGTTCTTTGGCATCGAAGAAACGCAGACTAGGATTTTTGTATTTGGAGATGTTTGGTGAATTCCATGCACTCAGGGTAAAAAACAGCTTGTCAATGTAAGGGGGGAGGCTCTTCAGCTTAACATTGATGGTATGGTGACCAAGGCGCTTCTTGTCATCCATCACGTCACCGGAATGGTATACTGCATCTGAAAAGCACCAGTTTCGACTGTAATCTGCTATCTCCTGGAATTGGTTACCGCTGTAAATGAGAACCGATGCGTCCAGATAATCGCGTCCTTTGGTTGGATAGCCCCAAAACAAGTCAAATATAACATGGTCAAAGGAATCCGGAATGGCATAGAGCAGGACAATTAGGTGCAAGGTACTGAAAGGCTGAATGTTGTAGTCTTGCAGCGTTGTGAGTTTTGAGTCTGCGAAACTCTACAAATGAAAACAGAGAACATTTTGTAGTTACTCTTTTTGGGATTTTTTCTTGTTTAGAACGGGAATCCTGAAAGTGACCTCCCGAATCACTTCAGCCTAGTTTTCAGTAGCGACGCAGGCGCAATTGATTTATGTCAAGTGTAAACAAGCGCTGGCGCTGAAAAAAGGACGAGAGTTTCACTAGCACAAAATGTCTCTTTCTGCTTATGCGAGAAGGAAGAGTTTTAACTGAACCCGCCAACATAAACGATTCCCTTGCGCTTATGTTGTGGTCCGTTTTCACACAGCACAACGCGAGTGCAATATGAGCGCATGCAAAAGGAAACGAAAAATACGCTGCTTGGGCTTGTGCTTGCAATTTTGTTTATGCTTGCCTCAAGAAAAATAACAGACAGAAGGGCTCTTGTTTTTGCTCTTTGTCAGGTTGGGCTTGTGTGTACGTCTGCAATGAAATCCAGGTTGTTTGCTGGCTTTCAGTGTAATAACTGCATGCATGCCTGCAAATATCAAAATGACATTCGTGGTGAGAACACGAATGGTGGCATCTACATGGAATCTATTTTCTTTGTCATTATTGTACTAAGCTTTGGTGAGCTCGGGAATCACTGTAAGTACACTAAGGGAATGACTAAGACGTGGGGTGCCTCTAACTTACTTTTAATTCTTGATCTTTGTACAGAAGTCGCTGTTTTTCAGGTGAAGTACCAAGCCTTTCTTTCACTAAAAGCTTCAAATGTTTCACAGTCATGCCAGGTCGATACTCAAAAACTGTGCTGTCTCCTCCTAACATGAACACCGAGATGGTTGGGTTTACGTCCTCTGGAGCAGCAACTGGTGTCTCAGTCAACAAGTGCGGAGTTTCTGGGAAGAGGCGTTCCAGTGTCTCCATGAATTCTATATACCGCAGGTTGTCAGTGGTAACATTCGTAGAGCACTGTGAACATCTATTTGCATTTTTTACAAAGTGTGTCACACACTGCAAATGAAAAGGAGAAAACAAAACCACATTACTTAATTTCGCTTCATTCTTTTCAAAATTACGCGTTTGTCTGTACAAACAGTTCTCAGATGTCACTTGCTTACTATTCTATTGAGATCACATCCAATACTTGTAGAAAAGTAAAGTTCCAAAAGTGCTTATTTTTTTTAATTCAGGTAAACCTAACGCATTCTTGAAATTTTCGCCGATTCCTACGAAGCGTTGACATTGAAATAGGTGAAAAAATTAAGTTTTATACTTACCGTCATAGGTGGTGAATGCTGCCGCTTTTTCGTTTGTGAAGTGCGCGGTATGATGCGCAAATTCGCCAATCGAATTACGAAACAATAGCAACAAAATTAGAACATTACTTTGCTTTAGGTGAACAGTTCACGAAAGGCTTATGTTTTGCCCCGCTTTTGAACATAAGTAGGCATTCTGAACTGGTGAATTCTTTCCACTGTAGTAAACACTTTCCGTATTTCCGGTGTCAAGCAAGTGTATAGATGACAAGCAAGTTGTATTTCCGCATTATAGTTAATCATCAGCGAGAAAACAGCAATGCAAGACTGATCTGTGATTGTGATCGCTTGAGCTCTGTAGTTTTTGCGCTGTCTTGCATAACCTGAAGACTAGTTCGTCCAAGGGTAACAGAAATGAATGCGAAACATAACAGGAGTAGGCATATATGTCAACGTGATCTGAATAACTAAATAGTGTACTTTCTATAGCGGCAGCTTCTACTACAGTTAACGTTGGTAATGAACTGAACAACCGAAATCTACGTAGATGTAAATTATGTGGCACTATAATGCAAAGAATTCTGGCCTGAAACATCGAGAGTACTGCTCCTCCTTTAACTTACCCTTAGACAGTGTAGAGGGGCATGGTTGCACTCATCAGTCAAGGTTACCAAGGGGAACTCTCGTCGTAGCTTCGTCTTCCGGCATTGTTTACAAAACATTTTGAAATTCTTTCTCAATTTGATCACTAGAACCTCAGTGACACATCAGCTGCAAAAACAGTCACACAACAGACCAGAAAGGGTTTGTTGGCGTTCACTATTAATTTGTCATATCATTCACTACTAGAATTACACATTTCTGAACCTGAATCATGATCATGAAATGAAGAAAATAATTCTTCCCTTCACCAAGCCTGCAGGAGCGAAAATTGGTATTCTACTTGCCTAGACCTGCCCTTAGAAAGTTGAGTGATAGCACGTATGTCACCGTAATCACGCCAAACAGATATTCCTTTAACTAATCGAACGCCGCTTCGGTGTACTCGGGTTAAAGGTTTTCTTCGGCTTTATGATCATTATTATTGTACGTGTAACATACAGTAAAGTAAATTGTACTCCAGCGTTCGGAGGAACCGACTATAAAGAAACAGGACGGGGCAACTTCGCGCAGTAGTTTGTGCAAAAGGTTTCATTTTCTTCATCATAAGACAGTATAGACATAGTAACTTCTGTGTAGGTTTAATGTTTTGGCCGGGGCTCACTGCAAATAAAGATTGCCACCACATTCGACGAATGCAGGGTATAGAAAAACTTCTAAGATCGCGTTTCTTGGATGGAATTATTGCTAAAGAATTTGAAGCAAACTCACCTTTCCAAGGAGAAATCAAGCGCCCAGAAATGATTTATGTCCACTCGACATGCTTGATGGAGGATTCTCATGCAACGTAACGCTTGAGCGCATTTCTCGGAAAGATTGCATCCCCCCCCCCCTCTCCAAAACTGACCAGGGAGGAAACGGACCGTTTTGCGAGCAGCATAGCTAAAAGCTATTTGGGCTGATGTGTTCATTCCTGGTCGATCTTAGCTAAAAGAAAAGTTGTAGAAAAACCTATCAGTGAAAAATAACGGTGACGATATCTATAAGTGATAGAATCTACAAATAAGTGTATCTCGATTATTAACCAGAGAAACAGGTGCTTTGTCATATTCCCCTCCCTACCCCACTTAACTTTTAATATAGCCCTCCGGAAATTTTAAGTATGGAAATTTAATGCATCCTTTTGTCTTTCCATTTTTTTATTTCGTGGAAAACGAAACTAGGAGTGCCGTGTATGATTTCATGCAGGCAATCGTTTCCTTGTGCAGTTTTGATTCGTGAACGTCGATCATCCTTCCACTACGATGGCAGACTTAGTAATCCAAAAAGAGGCTTGCTTCTATGGTGATCTGTTGGCATTTTAATCGTCCATCAAGTCTGATCGAGGTGAGGGCAAGTTTTAAAGTTATTTGTAGTCTATTCAGTTTGCGAGTGATCAGTGGCAAGCCAGAACGTTGTTACGTTGTTGTGCCACTGATTTAATTTACCTTGGTAAAACTTTATTTAACTGGTAATTTGAATTCCGAGTCTGTGTCTTTGTTATCTCAAAGTTGCACTGGTTTATACATTCTTTTTCTAGAATAATGGTTCCGCTGTTCCGAGCGCTTTTATGATCATCATACAAGATGCCTCCATTTTATAATACGCCTTTATTTAAATATAGCTTAACGATTTGGAAGAATTTCTCTAATCCGAAGACAGTCACTAACTTTGTGTTGAGAAACGGATTTGAAAATATTTGAAGACTGATCATAGATCACAGTCAAGTATGCACTGAGATCGAGCGACGGCCCAGAGCTAGCATTCTACAATTCGAACTCACAACTGGATGGCACCCAACGGAAAAAAAACGATGTGGATGGCGTTTTTACTATAAAGGCATGCAGTGCAAACTATAAGGCCTATCACCATTAGCAATCGCTTTCATATTCAGTCGCAAAAATGTCGACTTGGCTTCACGCTGCATAACTATGATCAAACCCTCATCATACCTAAACTTGTTGTAACAAAACACCAAGATGTTTGCGGCAGGGGTTACAGCGTGGAGGTATTTTGCTGAACGCCGAACGCCATATGCACTGTTTGCTGGCGGTTAGTTTCACTCATGTTTGCTTGCGGTTTGCTTTTATTTTGTTGGAAAGTACAGCATTTAATATATTATATTTGTGCCTTTCTAACAAATAAAAGCTAGCCGCAAGCAAACATGAGTGAAACTGCTAACCGCGAGCAAACATTGCATTCGGCGTTCTGCAAAATACCCTTCCGGAAATGTGTGATCTTAAAATTTCCGAGACGTGACTTGGGTGTGCAAGTAAAACATCATCGGAAAAAAAAGTTCACTAAATAGGACATAGGCAGTATTTTAATTGTTTCGAGTGCAGTCATTTGTCATGGGATCTTTCCAAGGATGAGTAAGCTTGATTATCTCAAATACCTTACTATATAAGGTAAAGATACTGAACTAAGAGTGTTTTCGTAGAATCACCATGTTAACGCTTTATAGAGAATAAATACCAATTTTTCATGCTTGGTTTTAACGTTTTTTGCACAGGTACGCTTTGTCTTAGTGTTCAGGAACAAAATGAATATGGATATTGCAGGGCATTATCTTGTCACTTATCGACACTGTATTAAAGCACAAACCGGGTCACAATCGCTTAATGACGTTCAAGAAAGTCGCAAATGTTTCCGGTTTATCACTGTCGTTCCATGGAGTGAATCGGATAATAAATTGATCTCTGCGGCGTCTAAGTGTATGCAAAAGAAGACGATGATCTAGATCAATGTGTCACCTTGCTTGGTGTATGCTAGACTCGACGCAACGAAACGAGAGACCGAGACGAAACTCAGTCCCGCACAAAATCTATGGGACGAAACTAGCGAAACGAAACCACCGAAGTGAGCGGAACGGAACGAAGTCATATCTGAAGCAAAGGAATATCCGTTCGATCATTCGTCACCATTGATAAAGTAATTCAGCCAAATTGTACATTTTTTAATTAGAGTTTTTGAAAAGGGCTATTATTATTTTTCGGCGTAAGAATATTATACTGGTGAGAACTGCTATCGATAATTTTCATTCTTTCCTCTCAAAACAGAAGGGGACGTTGACAAAACGTTTGGATATGCTCTTAGTAATGAAGGTGATAGCTTCCCTCCACCTTTTTCAAATCCCTTGCAAAAAGCCTTGAAAAAATAGATATAAAGTTCGCGAGGGCATGGGGAGGGATAAAATAGCCTGGGCACGAGTTTCCATAACCAAAACGAATGCGATAGCGGAGTGTTTGGACATAGTGAAGCTTACTTCGCAAATCAGAGAGGATTAGCAAAACTGTTTTCCTGGCAGTTTTTTTGGCGCCTTTCTATTGAGAAGTGGACAAATGTTTCATGGGCTGTCGGCAAGAGAACATTTATGGCTATGTTTCCTTGCAAGTTGAGTGATCTCCCAGGTGATCTCCAGGTGATCTATCAAAGGTATTATGGGTAACATAAGTAACTTTGTTATCGTTCTGAACAAGCTTAAGGTGGCCGGCAACTATGGTTGGCCATTCGTTTCAAAATTACGACTGGATATACGCGGGTTTTTCTGCCGCGTATATTTGTTTACATACGTTACGTATGGGCTTTAAGCTCATATATACGACCATTTAGATCGCGTATAT